CACTAACCCAATACCCAACATTAAATCCAACTAAAATTATGTTTTAAGAATGTTGCCCTAAATAGATATTTAAGACAGGTAAAACAGAACTCCTTCAGAAATATCTGAGCACTGAGCAGAACATTTGGTAACTCTACCTACATGAAAGTCTTACAAATTATGAGAACAGATTTACTAGTCGAATTGTTGTGCTCTAGGCATAATAAATATCTCATAGCATGTTTTATTTCTGAAGTTTTTTGCAAGCAAGAACAACAGTGTATTATGGATCCATAGAGCGAGTGAAATACAGCCATAGAAGAAGGGATAAAAAAAAACAAAAGGTTGAGAGTTCGGGTTGGGTGTTTCCTTACAGACATCCAACTGAAAACAAAATTAAAATATGTAGTTGTAAGAATAAAAACAGCTGTCAGTCTAGCTGATTGGAATGTTATCTGTTCGTATCCAAATCTTTCATAATATCCAACTTCATATTGGAATGTAAGTAAAAACTTTTTCTTATTTCGACAAAACAAAAAGTTGTTGATATTGCAAGGCGAGAGATGGCGGATGGAAGTTAAAAAAACTGAATTTTAACTACTGTTACATAGTGCTCTAATCTTAAAAATTCATACTGTTCTTCGAATATCGTGTCAGTGATTAACTCAAAGTGGATGAGATGAACTTGGAATATATTTCGGGTGGGAGAAATCCTTACAGCTTTAGTCCGAAAGTCTGAAGCAAAGAGAGAGCCTAAGAAATCGAAAAGTAGATTACTTACTCACTCACTCACGGAGCTGAGCCCTTCTTCAGAAGCCGCCAATTCTGCAGCTACTCAAGAATTCCCCAGCATTTTATGGAACCCGAAGGTTCATTATCGTGTTCACGAGAGCCATCCACTGGTCCCTATCCTGAGCCAGACAATCCAGTCCATACCATCCCATCCTATCTTTCTAAGGTCCATTTTAATATTGTCCACCCACCTATGCCTTTGTTTTCCCAGTGTTCTCTTTCCTTCTGGCTCTCCCACCAACATCCTATATACATTCCTCTTCTCCCAATTCGTGCTACATGCCCTGCCCACATCATCCTCCTTGACTTGATCATTCTAATTATACTTGGAGAAGAGCACAAGTTCCTCATTATGCAGTTTTCTCCACCCTCTTGTCACTTCATCTCTCTTATGTCAAAATATTCTCCACAACACCCTCAGTCTATTTTCCTCCCTTAATGTCAGAGACCAAGTTATCGAAAAGTAGATAGAAAGATAATATTAAAATTTATTTTAAGGAAATAAAATATATTGAAGTCGCATTTTATGCGAGGATACGTTCCTCAAAATCTCGCATAATTCAAGACAAATTTTGAAATATATACGTGTTACTTGATGAGTTTTTGAAAAGTCAGTGAAAATCCAATCCCACCTATGTCAAGGAATCACAGGGTCACTTTTCAAATTATCTTCATGCGTACGAGTTTGTGTACGGGTTCAATGCCACGAAAGAACGCAAGGAAGAAGTAATTTTTCCAATAGCTATTAACTCAGTCTAGAGACCTACACAGTTCCGGAATATAGATTTTCTCATTCTGCTAGTATGTGACCTTATTCTGCAATTAAGCCGCCATTTGCATATTATATAACACAAAGGACTCCGACAATGCAGGAGAATATGCACGCGTGCAACTGTATCAGTCTACAGCTATAAAGTTCAGAGTGTACAGAGGAGGCGAGACACAATATTCGGGGACCGTGAATAATTCTCGTCATGAGATCTGAGGTTATCAGTGTGATGAATATTAAGGCTGACGTCTGCTGGGATATGACGAGGGATAGTCTTGTAGAACCTGGACAATGTTCAGCAATAACACACTACTTTCTTCTTCTGTGTCAACCTTGAAGTTATACGAGGTGACATCTTAAAGCTCCTAATACACAATCGAAAAACTCTATGATCGATTTTCTTGGCCAGGTTTTGATGCGATCATATTTCTGTTTGCTAAAGTTGGTAAAGGCATGTACTGTCTTCGCTCGCTTGGTAAACCGGGATCGTGGGTTCGAATCCTACTCAGGGCATGGATGTTTAGTTTGTGTGTGTGCGTTTGTCTGTGTTTGTGAACAGGTAGAGGCCTTGCGACGAGCTGATCACCCGCCCAAGGAATCCTACCGAATGTGTAAGATCTAGAAAAACCGAAGTGAACGGAGAAGTTCATGGAGGTAGGCCTAGGCCCACTGGGGCTGTAGTGACAAGAAAAAAAAAGTTGGTAAAATTGTCCCTGTGTGTAACTAATTAAGCACTACATCATTAAGGCGTGTGGTGGAGTGGATGTATAGATCCACATTTTCTTGACCTCGGCAGTAGTTGGTGAGTGGTCAGCTTCACGCCCCTGCTGCTTAAAGATCCCCCAATACACATTTGATAGGAGGTTTGATGAGCCCCAGAGTCGGTCTGGACGCTGTGGAGAAGAGAAAACTCTTGACCCTACCGGGACTCTGTCTCCGACCCCTCTCCATCGTCCAGCCAATAGCTAGTCGCTATACCGACTGCGCTATCCAGATTCCTTATTTTTGTTTGCTATGTATTTAAAATGATTCTAAAATTCTAAATCTTTAGGCTGGATATTGCTTTCTCAGGTTGCAAAAGCGCTGTTGCCGAGACGTGAAATGCGCAATCATTAATTCGTTACACTATGCACTGCAATTACAAGGGAAGTTAACGCTAAATTAAAAAGGCCAGAAGAAGAAAGAAGAAGAATTCGCTCACTTAATCGTCTGTTTATCCCTGGCGATATATGTTTGCATGTTATGCACACTGCCTTTTAACAGGAGTAAAGAAAACCTATTCTGAACATGACACGAGAGCTGCAGTTGGACGAAATTGGGGGACGGGATAACAGTGTACAAGTCCTCATAGGAATACAAGTTCCCGCACACAGCACTTAAGGGAAGGCTACTGATTTCATCTGGAGCTAAGGAAATACAAATTTCGACAGAGACTGCTCCTCGATTTGACCTCTGAAATGGGGAATACAAGTATTAGCTGCAAGACCGATATGCAAGTCACTGGCTTCGGAATTAGACTAGCCGACGTGGGAGGATGCGTGTTGCATATTACAAAGAAAAGCGAGTCAAAAAACAATACTTGAACAATGCGCCCCATTTTGGGTGACGAAAAGGCCGACTACATATTATAAAATTTATGAAAAAAAAAATCTTTGGAAGAGTTCTGTCTACTGGGTTATAACGCCTTTGGAAGTCAATCGACGTTTCTGAGAAACATGTCGCCTCCTTCTTCAAGACAGAATAATAAACGAAACAAGAAACCGGCGTGAAAGCATTTGGTTGGTAGAGAAAATTTTTGTTACTTCTTTCTTCAGGAAATTGAATTTCTAATAGCCTCTTAATTTTCTTGAATTTCTGTACCTTGTCTTTGTCTTTATTACACGCATTCTGACGTGTTATATATATATATATATATATATATATATATATGTTATTTCTTAATGTATAAGTCAACACAACAATTCTATAATGAACTACTAAATACAGTGGTATTGATTTTTCTATTACCGAACTGGTGTGGTGAATGATACAATATGAGGTACCATATTTTCATAGTACAGTCATTGTAATGGAATGTAAAACTTTAAAATATATAACTTTCTTTGAAATGCAAGTTCTAAATATAGCAAAGAAAATAAAATTATGTTGGAAGAGAACCTACAAAGTAAGATATGTACCTAATTGTATTTCAACAGATTTGGGAAAAATAAAATGAATGAATGTGGTTTATTCTAGTCTGCATTGTTAACAGGACCGAGTAATTAGAACTTGAAATGATACTGAAATAATTTAATTAACATAAAATTGAATAGCCAATTTAGTCTTTAATCAGATACATTTACCAAAACCAAGACTTCGTTACATAACGTAATATGTGATATTATCTCTGTAACTGTTCGAATTTGTAATTTAATACGAATCCTCACAGAATCACGTTACGATGGCGAGAACTGCACACTGTGCCTAATATCTAACCAAATTTCGTTCTTATCCCTACTATAACTTCAGAGATTATTATGATGTGCCGCGGTAACGGAATGTCTTGAAAGTGCGTACGTCTATGCCGCCCTTTGTAGATGAGGTCGTATTTGTGAGAAACATGTATTAATTATTGTTAAATTAAAGGGTACTTGCAGTTTTGGGCAGTCTCCCTTCTAGTCTGTCTGTACCGTGAATCAAAAGGAATCAACTATGATCCTTTCAATTCATAACGCAGGTCACACTTTCGTAATTTGCATATTATCCGTAACTTTGTCACGTGGAGTACGAAAACAATATAATTTACGCGTATTTCTCCGTATTAAGCGCCTTATTCGGCCGCGCCATAGCTCAAGCGGTTAGTCGATGGCTTCCCACAGCGACGGCCCGGGTTCGATCAAGTGGGATTTGTGGTGGACAAAATGGCGCTGGGGCAGGTTTTCTCCGAGTACTTCGGTTTCCCCTGCCAATCTTCATTACACCAACTGCTCCACAATCACCCTCACCTATCATCTTGGGCTGGTACAATAGGCCAGATGTGGCCGCAGTACAAGGGACTTAGTCCCACCCCACTAGCAATAAAATAAAATCGCCTTATTTCTGCCCATAATTGTTATCATCAGTGTTCTCATTCTCTCTGTAATAAAGAGTAATTCTAAATTATTGTAAGGTTTCCGTCTATATACGACGGAATCCCTGACAATAATTTAGAATCACTCTGTAGTTTAGAGGTCTCTAACACCAATGTACATTCTCCAAGCCAACAGTAGATATTATTGACAAAATTATTCATCTGCCACCGGAGATCCAATTGCATTATGCAAATTAAACTGATGCGTCTACTTTGATCCTTTATGAAAGAAACTGTGACATATTTAACGTACATCGGGATCTCGTATTAAAATTATCTGGCATGAGAAATAATAAAAGCTGTAAAAACGAATAGAATTGCCTTGTGAAGTCGTACAAATATTACACTCACCATGCACCTGTTTCGGCATGACTGCAGTGGGAACCAGCAACTCAGGGACTTCCACTGTCTGTAACAACAAAACAGGCACACAAATTAAACACTTCACACTCGCATTCCGTCGCTGAAATTAAGGAATAATATATTTCTTAACAAAGAAATAAATTTACTTCCAGTATTAATATATCCGTCTACACAACAATTTCTTGTAAAAATATATAAATATAGAACATTTACATTAAAATCTTAAAACCCAAACACACACTACTACTCTTATTGGGTCATCATCGGGCGTATTATTTGTGCTTAGGTACTGAACTTGTTTTCATATGGATCCATATTTTGAATATGACTATATAATATGTAATATTATGTTTGGTAGCCAAACTCTTTGTATTATCTACATTTTCAGTCAAGCTATGTTGCTATTATTTATAATTAGTTATATTAATTTACTCGTATATCTAGTTGAAGGTTAAATTAAGGTCGAAATTAAGATTCAAATATGAGTATATATCCATTTGTATTTTGCTCGTACACTGGTCGCTCTTGTGTGGTGAATCTTCTTATTCTCAGAAGAATAAAGCTGGAAATTAAATTTCATTTTATAGCAACAATTTTTCATAAATATAATCAGTACACTCAATCACGAAAGAATAACCAACCCTTCGAGTAGTCTTTTTGGTATGGTAAAATTCACTGAAGTTCTAAAGAAATTGCCATCATCTTATGCAACTCGAACATTCATTGTCATGCTCACAAGGGCTCGTCACTGGACATTTTTTCAAGCCATATTAATCCACTCCAGAACACCAACGTGGAAGCGATAAGGCTCCTTGACGACGGGACAGTGGGAATGCTTAAGAGACTCAAGTCCTTTGAATTAGTGTAGTGCAAGTGTAAGCAGACTCAAGCCGCTTGAACTAGTGCGACAACAATGTGTTCAAGACACCAGACGCTAGGACACACAAGTGTGCGTAGTCCTAGACGCTTAGTTATACCAGTAGTAGTTTAAGTCAGAAGAGAATTGTTTGTTAGTCTCTGACTAGTTGCATTGTTAGAATGCAAAAAAAAAATCAATTGACACTCTAGCACCCTATTAATTCACGATAGGTTTTAATGTCAGTCTCCCATTTATGCTGATATCTCCTATTTGCCTCTTCTCTTCATGTTCTCGCAGTACATGTTTCAGAATATTCCTCATCCCTCCTGTGTGAGACACCTGCCATGTCAATCTCATCTTATATCAATTGATCTCTACCAGTATTTGAGGAAGAGTATATACATATAAAGCCGGTCACGATAGCCGAGCGGTCTAAGGCATGTACTGTCTCCGCTCGCTTGGAAACCGAGATCGTGGGTTCGAATCTCACTCAGGGCATGGATGTTTAGTTTGTGTGTGTGCGTTTTTCTGTGTCTGTGTACAGGTAGAGGCCTTGCGACTAGCTGATCACCAGCCCAGGGAGTCCTACCGAATGTGTGAGATCTAGAAAAACCGAAGTGAACGGAGAAGTTCGTGGAGGTAGGCCTAGGCCCACTGAGGTTGTAGTGCCAAGGGGGGGGGATGTACATATAATGTCGATCACAGTGGCCGCGTGGTCTAAGGCATGAACTGTCTTCTCCAGTGCAAATATTGCGATCGTGGGTTCGAATCCTACTTGAGGCATGAATGTCTGTGTGTGTAGGTAGCAGTCTTGCGAGAAGCTGATTCCCTGTCCAAGGAGTCCTAGTGAGTGTGTAAAAGATAAAAAAAGCCAACAAAGGGCTGTAAAGCCCTAGATAGATGTACATATTATGGTGTCCCTCATTACGCTGTTTTCTCCAGTCTCTTATTAATTCCTTTCTTTCGGGTGGAAATAATCTCCGAAGAAGCTAAACTGAAATATTTTGCTGGTATTCTCAGGCTTTACATTAAGTGAAGGTATCATACTTGAGCTCGGGGCTAGATGGAAATGAGCCTTCAGCATCACGTTCCAGCTGTTTAACTCCCGGGGAAAGAGCTCCCGGTAAACACCGAACAGGAGTCTTGTGTGGAGATCGCAGCCGATCTGGACGTTGTGGTGTAGAACTATTCTCTTATCTCTGCCGGAAGCCGAACCCCGTCCGTCCGGTCTGTAACCCTTCACTACAGTGACTGAGCTATACAATTCATTATAGTACCCGGTTCTCATAATGTCTAAATACTCTGCCGTTCCATGAAGTGCACATCTGAAAATTATGGAGGTATTTAAATTCAATTTTATTTTTAACTTTCTTTTCTATGCAGATTTCCAGGAAAACGTTACTTAAAAACTGCTGAAGACTCTTTATCCATACAATTTTTAGGAAAGAATGTATCGAGGGTAACTTGTACTCTCATCCAGGAGTAATCAGAATGATCATGTCAAAGGGGATGAGATTGGCACGGCATGTAGCACGAATGATGGAGAAGAGGAATGCATATAGGATATTAGTGGAAAAGTCAGAAGGAAAGAGACAACTGGAAAGACCAAGACGTAGGTAGGTGAACAATATTAGAATGGATCGTAGAGAGATAGAATGGGATGGTATGGATTGGATTGATCTGGCTAAGGATGGAGACAATTGGACGGCTCTTGTGAACACGGTAATGAACCTACGGGTTCCATAAAATGCTGGAATGTTCTTGAGTAGCTGCAGAATTTACAGCTTTTCAAGAAGGGCTCAGCTCCATGAGTGAATATGAAAGTTTCTGTGACCTTTTTTTATTGCTATTGGGGTGGGACTAAGTCACTTGTACTGCGGCCACTTCTGGCCTATTGTACCAGCCCCAGATGATAGGTGAGGGTGAATGTGGAGCAATTGGTGGAATGAAGATTGGCAAGGAAAACCGAAGTACTCGGAGAAAACCTGCCCCAGCGCCACTTTGTCCACCACAAATCCCACTTGACCAGACCCGGGATCGAACGCGGGTCGCCGCGGTGGGAAGCAGGCGACTAACCGCTTGAGCTATGGCGCAGCCTTCTGTGACTTACTCCTATTCCTTTATTAGGCGCATAAAGAGAATTGAATTTGGACAACATCCAAAAAAATTTATTTTTCATTCAAGACTAATCTGATCTGTGACGAATGCCTAAATTTTTGTCACGGGCAGGAAATTGGTGACGTAACTATGGAAGTAAGATTGCATTAACGAATAAAGTTGACTCAGTCTCAACCAGAACTTAAATATTACATGTAGAATACATTTATACAAATGAAGTTACATCTTAAATTTAAATTCATAGGTGATGTAGAATTTTTCAGTCCTCTCTTTGAAGTAAAAACATATTTTACACCGCGCTCTCTAACAGAGATAAGTTACCCTCAATTCCCGAGTAAAAAGAACCCAGTGATGGTAATTCACATTATTACAGCGACCTTAGTGTAGTGTAAAACACGCCTGGGGCTCGGTAATGAACCACTAGGTTTCAATCCGGTTTTTTATGACTGTAAGTGCATTGCTATCCTGTGGAGAGCTCAGGTTCCAGGGGGAACATATCTTCTTTCAAACAAAACCATGTGCAGAGCAGGGCCACCTCACGTTACACTTCAGAGTGTTAGGAAGTCTATATAGGAACAGCTCGTGTGAGTCAGTGCTCCAGGGGTCAATTCATAAAATTCCTCTCCATGAACGCTGGAGAAAAAAAAAAAAGAGTCGTCCATATCTGAGGCACTTTAATGCGATATATCACAGATATGCCGTTGAAATTATAACCCATCCATAATGTGTCAAATATTTTGGACGTCAAGATGAAACCACACGTTAAATATCTAGGACTAGTTAATGCTCCCTGGTACGTATCAAAAGCTACCCTACACAATGATCTAAGCATACAATATGTAACAGAAGTCATCAGAGCCTACGCGGAGAAACACAAAAACCGGATCACTCAAAACAACAACAAACTAATAAGAAACCTCTTCAACCAACCAGCAATAGAAAGAAGACTAAACAGAATGTGACCAGAGGATCTCATTAGATAAGCACCAGAGAATCATCGGAGGATGATACCTGCTTCAATATTACACACACCCATCCCTTTTACTGATTACTCTGTTTGTGTATATTGAGTAGATTGTAAAATTATTTCAAATTAAAAAAAAAAGAAATTATCAATTTAAACATGAATTTTACTTAAATAATATTTAAAGATTAATTGAACGCTGGAGAGATAGAACATTGTATCTTCAGAACATTGTATCTTCATTAAAAAAGATACGAAATTGTTGATGCTGTAGACGAAAATAATTGTTATCCTGACAAGTATAAAACATCCAGAAGTATACTCCGTGGTAAAAACATCTGAACTGTTTATATTAGAAGAAATGGTACATATACGAGCAGCTGCAATTGTATTTTTAAGGGCTAAATATTTAGTTCTTATACGCCACGAAAACAAACATCTTTAGTAAAGAGTAATTGCCGTTGTATAATCACCGGAGTCCCACTCAGAGCATGGATGTTCAGTGTTTTTCTGTGTCTGTGTACAGGCAGATCTAGTAAACCGAAGTGAAATGGAGAGTTTCATGGAGGTAGGCCTAGGCCTAAATGAGGGCTGTAGCGCCAACGAAAAAAAAAATGCACCGAGATATTTTGAAGTAAGGGATATTTAATGAGATCTCTCTGTTAATGTAGAAAATTACGCTCCATGAAAAGCACCATAATTTATAACATTCAGCTAATTAAGGGAATATACCGTTCATGAGCGAGATGAAAATAGCACAGTCCTATGCACTTTTAGCCTAAGATGCCACGAAGAACGACATATATATATAGGGACTAACGACTTCTTCCATCTAGACACAGATGGGAGGATAATAATAAAACGGATCTGAAATAAATTCAGACGCTGACTCCGGTAGTTCCGCAATGTACCTAACCAAAATTCGAGATCCCATAAAAGGCGATATATTTATTTACCGGATGAGCAAATGTTACAGCGGCATTTCTACCATAAAAATCGAAAACATCTCGCAAATCTCATAAGGATTAAAAATAAGAAACTCTTAAAATTTAAAATGCCGAAAATTAATATCTACTTAAATAGCCAATTTTATAAGGCACAGCTGT